CCCCCCCCCCCGAGATTCTGAGGGAGGATCTGTGCCTTGACCCTTCCCGGCCCTGGGAGCTGCTGCCGGACCCTGACTGGAGGCTGCATCATTGCACTCTGCCCTCGGTGGCCACACTGCCTTCTCTTCTTCTACCTGTATGTACAGCAAATCACCACCTGCCTGTCTCTTATAAGGACACTTACGATTGTATTTAGGGTCCACCCAGATAATCCAAGATGATCTCCCCAGGTCAGGATCCTCAATTTAATCACATCTGCAAAATCCCCTTTTCCTTAAAAAGTAACATTTATAGGTTCCTGGGATTGGGAACTGATATATTTGGTGGGTCATTTATTCAGTGCATGACAGCATCTAAATTGATTTAATTGATGTTACTTTTCTTTCCCTGATTAGACATGCCAGCCTTAGAGTAGGGTTTTTCAGGAAATAAAAAAGAATGCAATCTTGCCGTTTGCAACAACAGAGATGGGCCTGGGGGGTATGGTGCCAAGTCAGACAGAGAAAGACAGGTACTGTATGATTTCACATACGTGGAATCTTAAAAAGTCAAACAGAAACAGACTCATAGATACAGAGAACAAACTGATGGTTCCCCGAGGGGGTGGGGGATGGGTGTAAAAAGTGAACGGGACTGAGAGGTACAAACTTCCAGTTATAAAATAAATAAGTCACGGGGATGGAATATGCAGCAAAGGGAATACAGTCAGTAACATCATAATAACTTTGTACGATGACAGATGGTTACTAGAAATATCGCAGTGATTGCACTGTAAGGTATAAACATGTAGAATCACTATGTTGTACACCTGAAGCTAATATAATGTTGTACGTCAGCTGTACTTTAATAAAAAGAAAATAAGTGCCCTGGCTGGTCTGGCTCAGTGGCTAGAGCGTCGGCCCTTGGATAGAAGGGTCCTGGGTTCCACTGTGGCCAAGCGCACGTACCTCGGATGCAGACTAGATCCTCGGCCCCAGGTGGGACAAGTGCGGGAGGCAGCCAATGGATGTGTGTGTCTCTCTCCCTTCCATTTTCTCTGAAAAGCAATAGGAAAAATATCCTCGAGTAAGGATGAAAAAGAAAA